GTTCATGGCAGCAGTGACTTTGGGCTGCAAACCTAGAGCATTAACAAGAAAGTGAGGTGAATGACCAATAGATAAGAAGAGATTTTCAAAATACCCAACAGCCACACTCCCCTTGCCGAGCTCGTCGTAGTGAGGTGTCCCGGCATCATCCCGCAGTACTTCAACTCTATTTTGTCTTCTACGTTGGGTAGTGGTAAGGTGGAAGTACTTGGTGTTGTCATCCCCTTTGTGAAGCCAAGTGACTCGCGATTTTTGACTCCAGTACACTTCTTCTTGCAAATAGGCTGTCGATAGCTGCACCTCCATACCTTTGATGAGTTCCCAATCAATCGGTATCTTGTCTCGTTCATCTTCAATAGCTGTCCGTAGCTCGCAAATTTGGCGTGCAGCATTGGTAGTCCCAAGTCTCGCCCACTGGACTAGTTGGTGTCGCACAGCTTTGAGCAGGGAGAATAGCTGATACTGTGTTGTGCCATGCACGACATTCTGCACTTCTCTAGTCACTGGAATAAACATTGTTGCACCAGCGAATGTCGAAGTGGAATCGCGGCTTCCCTTTACCAGCTCCTGGAATAAACTGCAGCAATAGCATCCGATGGTCGGAACCAAGATCAGTCAGGTGAGCAATCTGCACATCAGGCCAAAGCGAGAGAATGTTAGCAGTGGCTAATCCCCTATCTAGGCGTTCAAGAATGTGAGATGATAGGCCTTGACGGTTGGACCAAGTAAAGGGAGCGCCTTTAAACCCCAGATCCAGCAACCCTGCAAGATCAATAAACTCACGAAAAGTTTCCATCATCTGGAAGGATGGAGGTCTGCCTCCCTGTTTTTCTGATGCCTGCAGAATGCAATTAAAGTCCCCTATGACTATCTTTGGCAGCACACACGACAAAAGCAAATTGATAATTTCATTAAACTGACCAACACGAGTATTTACATCGCAGCTAAGATGAACAAAGATGATACCCATCAATCCCCACACTAGATGCTGACACTCAACAAATAAGAAAAAATCAGACTCCCCTACAATACGACACTGAACGTTGGAGGCGCAAGCAACAACTAGACCTCCTGCTCTACCCACAGGGGAGACACAATGGACAAAAGGAAATCCTAGACGCATCAATTTCTTATGTACAAAATCATCATCACGTTTTGTTTCGCTGAGGAACACTATAAGAGGCGAGAACCGACAAATGGCTCCGAAAGGGAAGGAATTGTCAGGGGTGAGCCTAGTCCCCGACAATTCCAAGCTAGAATGCTCATTGGATAGGGTGGGACCAGTTCGGGCTGGCTGCCTCCACCACTTCAGTCGACTCCTCGGCAGGTCCCATCTCCGATGAGTTCCGCCGAGCCTTCTTGTTCTTCACTTCATCATCCACACCTCCCATGTCTATGTCTCTACCCCTGATCATTGGGGTCGAGGTCTCCCCATTAGCAGCATGAACAGAGCCCCCAGATGGTGGCGTTGGCAGTAGAAATCCACTCGATGCTTGGGTAGCAGACTGCGCTGGATTTGCCATCTCCTGCCTCACCCAAGTAAATTGCTTCCGACTCAGCAGCAGGCGATCATGTACTTTCTGCCCAGATTGCTGTGAAACAATATCTTTGCTGTAGGGAGTGTCAGTACCAGCCAGCTCGTCACGCCGAGGACACTGCTGCCCAATGTGCCCCAGCACCCCACAGAGGTAACAGAATTGGGACAGGCGCTTGTATTTGACGATCGCCGTGAATCCTCCCCTGCCGACCTTCTCATGGGATGCCGGAATTGACACCGGAAGGGGGAGGCGCCCATCAATCCATACCTTAGCATTGAGGTAGAGTTCGCCCGTGGCGGTTACCCGGTGAACTGAAGCAGGGTCGCTCTTCCCTAGGGCCAGCCCAAGGAGAGTGCCCAGCTTTGAAGTACAGCAAGGCGGAGGAACTCCCCATAATTGAAGCTGCAGCGGTATACGCCAAAGTTGGTCTGCAACCTCCGGGGAAACCTCCACCCAAGGGGCGAGGTGCACAAGGAATTTGGGGAGAAACCATGGTGTCTCCCGAAGCACCCGGTTCATGTCCGTTGATGACGGAAACACGAACTGCAGCAACCCTTCCGGCGCCGGGAGAACTGAGATGGCTCCGCGACAATGCCAGAGTCTCCCCAGCGTCGATTGGAGGTGGCGAACTGAGGGCATCGGACCAACCACCCTTCCCAACAGTGAAAGATTGTTCCGTTGAGCACCGGCAGCGATGTCTTCATCGCCGAAAACCACTGCGTTCACTCCAGCCATGGTGTGAGAAGAGAGGTAGGGTAACCAGAAACTCACAACAAATTGAGTACAAGGAGGGCACAAATCCCAAATCGGCAATGGTATCGCATAGCCCAGGGTGGTGGCTTTAAAACCCCCATCATCCCACAGACCGTTACCGGTGGAGCACGATGGCGGAGTGGCCGAGTCGGCGAGTCGCACAGCGACGAATACTTCGTTCCCACTCCCCACGAAAGAGAGAGGAGAGAGCTTTTTTTTCCACCTTTCATATCGCTTTCATTTTGGAACTTGTTCGGATTTTATTCCATAAATGGGGATGAGAATATTATTTTAAATATTCTGTGATTTCCAAATATTCGATTGATGGTCCGAGTTGCGTGAAGGAATTCTGGGATTTGTCAGATCCACAAAGAAAGGATTGTAAGAATTATTGAAGTACCTACGGTGTATTGTATTGTTCTGATGAGGAAAAGAGGATTAATTATAAATTATAACATTTCTATTGGTTGGTGTAAATTAAACCGAAATTTTAGTTTTTTTTCAATTACGAATTATCATGTTTAAGCAGTTTTCATGACATTTTCTAGTGGGGCACTTGCTGTTCGTACAATTAGACTCGTGGATTAGGAGATAATAATAATTATTATAAGTATGATTATTAAAGCTATAGATATAGAGGACATGGTAATGTGCATGGGATTAGCTAGGTTGCTGCAAAAAGCATGCGGTAATGAACACAGAGTGGACTAATGGCCATCAACCTTGCTATGCTTCCCCACAATTAATGTCTAAATGCTTCTTTGGAATCACTAATCCATCCCATTAATAACGGAGTTTGTCGATTTATAATTAGTTTGGCAAAAAGAGAGTGTGCATGATCATTTTGTAAACAACCGGTGATAACGTTTAAGCAATTAGTGATTAAGTTATACAAAATTTCACATTTATACGTTGATTTGTCTATTCTCTTAGAGTCATTTTTTAATGTTTTTATGTCTTATAAACAGAAATGTACTATTTACCCGTTTATATATACAAGCATATGAATGAATATGCAATTTAATTCAAGTTTCACTAAATCGAACTAAACTTAATCTTAATTGATTATGATCTTGTTATTTTTTAAATTGGCCTCATGTTTAAACTATATCGAAAGCTTGCCCGTTCTAGCTACGCTACAATACCCACCATGACTATGCTACGAGGCCTATACAACTCAAACTCGTAAAAGCAACGTAATAGCGATCTACTTCTGGATTGATAAACTCCATTGCTCGAGATAATTAAATCAGAAAAGATGGAGATTACACATCTTTTAAATAGAATTTAACCTTTCAGTTTGTAAAGATCATCATCAACTCATCACCATTTCCTCCTCTTTGGAAAGATTGAGGTGATAGGAATGAAGCAACTTAATGTGATGAAACTTGGCACAAGCGTACATTATATATAAGAAGAACAAGAAATTAAAAAATGAGCTTAGTGGAGACTTGTAATGCTACCCTCCAAAGTTAAATATCATGTTCTCTCTTTTGGGCCTTTTGATTTTTGGTCAAAATGTGAGTGCGGGCGGCTTGAAAAATGTTTGTCACTGGAAGGAGGGAGGAAAGGTTCTTATTTATTTAGTTATTAACTTATTATTAAAGAAGTGTTTGGTGGGATAAGCAGCACGTGGCGCAAGAGATGATAGTTGAAGAAGTTACTTACTTACTTACTTGTGCCAATAAACACGTGTCGTCTTTCTCACCCGATCCCTCCTTTTTTATTTACTTTTAGTAGCTGATTAGGTCTGTTTGATAGTGTTATTATTTACAGGTTGTTGATTGGGTGGTTTGATTAGGTAGACCTTCCTCTCACAATTTTATTTACTAATTATTATTTAGTGATTAAAAGGGAGAAAAATATTTGCTACATAATTGATAAAGAATAACGTAATTCAACCAAGAAATAAAAATAAAGGAAGAAGAGCTAATATTTTGATGACTAGGTAGGTTGTAGATTAGATTACACTTTTCAACCAAACTTGGGCCAAGTTTAATATTGGGAACAAACAACACCAGATCAAGTGAAGTAGCGAACCCATAAAAACAAGATGGTGGACCGAGCCCAAAAAAGGACAAAAGCCCAACTGCAATCCACACCTCCATAAAGAAAAAAGCAGAAAAGGCCCAAAAGCTACTTCTAACCTAAACAGAAAGCGAGGCGAGAAAATAAGACTGCAGAAGCAAGAAACCCAGCGCTACTTGCCTACATCCCACAACTGATTTTTCACAACCACATACGCTCATACGCCTCTTTATATCATCCATGCTTCCTCTTCAATGCTATTCCTAGCAATCAGCCTCGTCATGTCGACCTCCTTGGTCTGCCCAATCCGATGAACTCGCGGTCGGTCCATCGCCTGTTCTTCCATCTGCCAGGGTTACACCATGGCTCCAACAAACAAGTGCACTCTTTGATACAGCCGTGTTAGGTTGATCCCTGCTCCAGATGTCTTAATACGTATTACATAATAACACGCAATTGGAACAAATAACATACGATTTCAAAAGCACGCCAAACCAAATACATTTATGTCTGCTGTTGCTGCCAAATTGAACGGATGATGATCACCTTGTGTCTCAAAACATGCACGCAGGCTTACATTGATCAATTTATAGGCAGTACAGACACAAAGGCTCTGTTTTCCTCTGTTTTATCCCAACATAAGCCAAGAAGGCAAAATACAAACAGAAAAGAGAAATTAACAAGACGCTTAACAACGATACATATGGTAGCATACTACCAACGAAGAAACTAGAGAGTTTGTTATGCCACTAGATGAGTAACTCTCCACAAAGCACAACGTCGACACAAAACAAACAAACAAACAAACTCGCATACAGCATACAGAGGTTCTGGTTGCCAAGTCTAGCACAGTGACTGAAAGCAAACAAACAAACAACAGACATACTTGCTCGCGATGGAGGCAGAGGTTCTGTTTGCACACTCTTATTGTTGTCTTAAACGATTCAAGCAAATGTTCGTCACAGTACTTCAAGCGTCAATCTGAAATCTGTGCTGTAAAACGATAACTGAACGGCAGCCGGGTGCGGGTGGCAGCTGCTAGCGTAGATGGGGGCGGATTGGTTGGACCGATAGAGGGGAGGTGATTGGCCGGGAAGAACGAATCATGAGTGCGTTGCTCTTGCTCTTGCTCTGCTCACTCTGAACTGCAACAGTCCAACAAACATAATAGCGGATGAAGCTGACATTGTCACCACTGAAGAGGGAGAGGTGGGGGATGGAGAGACAAGAAGCAGAGAGCACTACTGAATCAGCTTAATTTAATTACCGTATTTCCTCATCGTCATCATGTCCTGCTTTTTCCTCCTCCGGTTTGCTGTTAGAGCAGCCGATTCCCGACATGGATTCTGTCATTTCACGATGCATTAGTAATTATGCGGAACAAGAAAGTCATTCATATACCCAAACTCACCAAGTAGTTACTTGCTCATTTTATAAATAAATAAATAAACAAATATAGTACTAATATAAGACAACTTAGCAGCTAGGTAGGTAGCATGCAATTGACGTACCAATCTGGGTCTTGAATAATGTTCGGATGTCCTGTCCATGGAGGATGATGGTGGGGATGTGAGAGATTTTGTCCCACACCTCCTTCGGCGCCATTTTGCCTTTATTAAGGTAGGACCTGTAGATCCCCAACCCGGCGGTATCCTCCTGTTCCAGAATCGGAACCCAAAGGTCGACAAGATTGAACCTGTAGCTCCCCAGCCCGCCACTGCTGTATATCTCCAGCCGCTCCAGAGTGGTTTTCCGGAGAAGCACATCCGGCACCTTCTCAAGCTTCTCGCAGTGGAAAAACTTCAAGCAACGCAGGCGGGGCATGACTGTCATCGAGCTGATCAGCATCCCGGCTTCATGATCATCACCCTCTAGATCCCACACTTGCCAATCCCTCATCCACGAAAAACTAAGCAGCGTGAGCTTAGGGAATGCAACAATATCACGGCCTTTGTTGTCACCCAACAAGAACTCAACCCCAACCTTGTTCACTTTATTCATGTTATCCAAGCGAAGTTCTTCGAGGGAGGGCAGGGCCCCCAAAGGGGGAAGATGCTCCACTTGATCGCACCCCTCGAATTCTAGGGATGTTAAGTTGGAGAGTGACATCAACCAGCTAGGGCATATGCTTTCTCCCATGTACCATGCTACACGTAGGCGTTCCAAGCTTGTTGATGATGGCATGATGGCTTCCAACACTTGTTCTTCCTTGTCGCTGGCCTTTTCTTTTCTGGAGTTGAATTCCAGTTGCAAAGAAGTCAGAGATTCTTTTTTGGCGAGCTCTGCACGCTTCACCTCCGCACAGTTTGTTACATTGCCCAACCTTCTTATTCTAAGGGATCCCTGAATTCGGTTCATGCACTCTAGATCCCCAATATTTGTACCTCCCTCCGCATCAGCCTCCAGATTAAACGTGGTTAATGTCTTCAGGGAATTACCTAGCCTGGCCATTGATCTTGGGAGCACCGCTGGGACCAAGTGATTTTCAAGATGCTTTAAGTTCACCAGCTTATTCCCCATTCCACTGGGGAGCCTCTCCAATTTCATGTTGCCATTGAGGAACAGAGTCTCGAGATTATACAACTCGCATATTTCTTCCGGCAGCTCCCTCAAGTACCTGTTATTGGACAAATCCAAATGTCTCAAATGAACTAGCTGGGAGATTGCCGATGGTATTTCTCTCGTATCACAATGGTTGAGGATTAACGATCTTATGCCTCGCAAATGAGCATATACCTCAATTTCAATAGCACTTCCATATTTCACTGTGAAACTACGTAGATAATTATTGCGCTTTGTTGAAGAGAGGCGTGAAGAAATGATGGAGGACATGAGTTTGTTGGTTTCCTCGCTACTCAAAACTTGTACCATCAAATGACGAACCTCATTGATGTTCAAGTTTAGTGAGCTATCTTGCTTCAGAATACTGATGCACTCGTTCTTGGTTGTGAGTCGGGCAAAATCATGAACCAAATCATGCATCTTGCATAATGTTTTTTCCTCACCCATCTTCTCTCCCTTTTCCACATCTTGGAAGAAAGACCGCATAACTAATATTTGAAAGTACTCTTCACCGACCTCCTCCATATCTTGGTTCGTTGTTGCCTTGAGAAAACCCTGTGACATCCACAACTTAATCAATTCGTCCTTCTCCATTTGGTGATCCTTCGGAAATACTGAACTGAACTGAAAGCACTGCCTAAGCGCCGGAGGCAAATCATAGTAACTCAAAGCTAGAGGAGCAAGGACTTTTTCTCTTCCTTCTTTCATCTCCCACATTTCACTTCCGAGAAGCTGAATCCATTCCCTTTTAGATCTTTTCACATGTAGTACCCCTCCCAAAACTTTTGCAGCAAGCGGTGAACCATAACACTTTTCTACCACTCTCTCACAAAGATATTCGACACGTTCTCTATCCTCATCGCTCCATCTATAAAATGCAATTTGTGTGAAAATAGCTTGACACACATCCTCAGGTATCTTCTGTATAAGCAAAATATCGTCGTCCGCACAATGTAACGCCCAAGAAACCTCCTTTTTTCGTGTAGTCAACAAGATTTTGCTTCCAGGTAATCCGTCGGAAACAGAAGTTATTAGTTCATCCCAGTTGCTCTGATCAGCTTCCCACACATCATCAAGAACAAGAAGGAACTTCTTGCCCTTCGTATGCGCATTTATCTCTTCCAACATGTGTGGAATTGTACTTCCTTGAGTATATTTCTTGAAAGATTCAAGTATGGATTTAGCAACAGTTGCTTGATCAAAATGATTGGACACACAGACCCATATCCTTTTGTCGAAATGAGCTTCTACTTTTTTATCATTGTATAGCATTTTGGCCAATGTGGTCTTCCCAAACCCACCGGGACCTTGGATAGATATGCTTTTGACACTTTCATCATCCAATAACTTGTCCTTCAATATTCTTAATTCTTCTTCTCTGCCTTTCACATTGGAGAAATTGATATTGGAACTAGTTTGCAAACTTGTGTACGAAGACTTCTCCCTACGAGTCAACGGGTACCTATTTTTCTCCTTATCTATATCGTCTAGACGCTCATTCAAACTTTTTGCCCTCGAAGCGGTATTATACCGAAGACCGATTTTGTCACAGCAAGTAGGAAGAAAACAGCATACTCGTTTAAGAACATCGGAGATCCGAAGCAGCTTCAACTCCAAGCAGCTGCACCGAGCGTGTTGATCGCCGCCGCCGCCTCCTTTGAGTTGACGCTTGAGGATCTTGGTTCTCCACTCGTCCAGCACATCATCGATCTCGTAGGACACGTCCTTGAGCTTCTTCAACCATTTTTCGACGCCTTCATCCTTCAATTGCTTCTCTTCTGCATCCAACAGCAGAGCTTCGATGGCGTTGAAAGTGGATATGAGCTTCTCCACATCTTTCTTTGCGCCGAGGACAAGCTTCGCGTGTTTCTTGAGCTCTTCGGTGGTGATTGAACCCAGCTCGCTCAGGACTACAGAAACAATGGCTGCCATGATGACGGAAGCGAATGATCTAGACGGGAAGCTAGCTGGGAAAGGAAAGGAAAAGAAGCGTTTTCATCAGTTCTATCTTCTATGGTCTCGTCGGTCTCATTATTATAGTTAATTAAGTCAATAACTAATCATATTTCAGCGTTAATTGCGACTTGTTCTCTTTTGGGCCCTTTTAATTTTCTCAAAAAGGTGAGAGCGGCTTCAACTCTCTCTCTCTCTCTCTCTATATATATATATATATATATATTGTTAGTCCATTTAAAATATCTTATGTAATTTTATAACACAAATAGATATTTTAGAACAAAAATAACATTTTAATGATGAATATACATGAAAAAAATGGATCAAGGCAAGTACTATTAATTAAAAATTTTAAACATATAATTATAACCATAAAAATCAATAATAAACCATAATTTTATCTAACAAGATTGATTTTGACTGTTTTTCATTTTTTAGAATTTTATTCATATATTGAAGAAATCATTTTTAATAATTTTACTTGATCTCTTATATTAAAAAACACTTATAATATTTTTTCGTCCAAATGCTCTACTATATATTTTTTTTTAAAGTACTTCTCTAATAGCTTAAGCGAGAAGCTGTTAGTGCAGAAGGTACAACAGAGTCAAACTAGCTCTATAAAATGTATATCTCAATAGTGATTTATATTATAAGCACTGACTTTTTACTATAAATGGCGTTTTCTTGATTTGATATATTTATTTATCGTTTCTAGTACTCATTCTCATGAAAATTCATCAATAAATAGTGATAATCAAAATAACTTAATAGTAGTAAGATCACCATTGAGAAACACATAAAATCGCTACAATATAATTGCTAAATCACTACTAATTCAAGTACTTGCAATTTTCTCATGTAGAAATGATAGAGAGGAGATACAAATTTCAAATTTAATTTAACTATTAAAATTATTTTCCTGAAAATACAAAACAAGCTACTCATTACTCCCCAACATCATATTTAATTTAAAATTAACAAATCATGACTAGAGTGGTTAGTAAACCATGATTAAAGTGGTCAGCATCATGCTGATAAACTACATATTAGAATTAGCATGCTACCTCGTCCTAATTAAAATCGCTATTGATAAGATCAGTACTATTGATAAACTAATTAAATATATTTAGGTTCGATTTTAAAACAATTAAAATCTCCCAATACTCTAATTACCCTCGACCACTGATTTAACTAATTTCCTATAAGCCAAAAGGAGGGATTTAAGCAAGTGGTTAAGCTTTTGGGCATAATTAAGCACACCAGACCCCACGCCCTTCAACAGCGATGGAACCCAGGGAGAACAGGTATTTACTTGGAAAGGATGCCAGCCAGCCATGATTGATTGTGGAAGCTGACGAGCGTACCAATTAATCTCAAGTATCGATGATGATCTGTTTAAGACGTACGGAAGCTGGGAAACGGTAGTAAAAGAAGCAATTTTCATCCGTTTTTATGGTTTCATATGAACTTCAACTAGTAGCTGGAAAAGGATAGTAATAATATAGCTATTGGTAGGTGTTATATCTTGTGTTTTAATCAACTGTTAATATTGGGGGTCGTGGAGATTCGAACACACGATCACTTGGCCAAATCAGCTCTGATACCATGTCAAGAACCAGTTGGTCCCAATAACTCGAGTTGTTGAGAGAAGGTTATGCTGTACTTATACCACACTCTAATATTAGGAGAATTAGTGAGAAGGAATACGTGTAATAATTAAACACTAACCTCGCTGGATTTTGGCCGTATGGTCTCCAAGCTGAACGTTGTCTGCAAGAATTTCTGCGGATTTTCCCCTCTCTTAATTAAATCTGCCCCCAAAAACCTCTCTCTAAAACTCTCTTGAAGTGCCTTGAAAACAGCAGCGCCCTTTTATGGGGAAAAGATGGCCCAGGAATTGCCAAATAATGGCAGCAGCCATGACGTGGGAAGCTGACGACACTAACAATTAATCTCGTCGTCAGTCAGCTTATTCTTATCATTAATTCGATTATTAATCTTTACACATGCGATGAAATTGCGACGAAATTGTCAACAAGTGCTGCAACTTGATCTTCGCCCTTACAAGTAGTTGCGATTAGGTCTCTTTAATATTATTTTTAATTACAGGTTTTTTATTGGATAGTTTGGTTTGGTAGAGCTGTGACCGTGACCGTGTTTGTTAATTCATTATATGTACTAATTTGGCACGGCTTAGCTTTTGCAGATGCATTTTGTCACAAAGTGCTGCGGCCTGCAAGTTGTTCTCTTTTGGGGCCTTTGAATTTTGTCAAAAGATGAGGGCTGCTTCACCTGTGTTGTTAGTGGAGAAAGGAAATTAATTATATATATATTTTTTTTTTGCACTTACCGTACAAGTAGACATTGGGTTTGTTTAATATTCTTATATTCACAGGATATAAGCTGGGCTGCCAGCATCTCGCCCAACTCTATATTGTGAGCTCCTCGGACTCGCTTTGTACCAACAAGAGGAAACTTCTCATCGCTCTCACGGAGTTGATTACTTATACTATTTAGTATTTAGTGACTGGGGATGTTTGCTGCATAATTAATAAAGAATAACGTACCTTAAAAAATAAAATAAAGAATAACATAATTCAACCAAGAAATAAATAAAGGCAGAAGAGCTAATATTTTGATGACTAGTTTGTAGATTAGACTATTGTCAACACAGACTACAATACTTTTCATTTCAACCTAACTTGGGCCAACTTTAATAGCAAACAACATCAAAATCAAGTGAACCCATAAAAAAGAAGATGCTGGATCGATCCCAAAAAAGACAAAAGCCCAACTGCAATCCACACCTCCACAAAGAAAAAAAAGCCCAAAACCTACTTCTTTCCTAAACGGAAAGGCGAGGCCAAGAAAAAAAAGAAAGAAAAAGCAGAACTACAGAAACCAAACAATCCTGCTCTGCTGCTACTTGCCTACATTCCATTTCCAAAACTGATTTTTCACAACCACATACACACGCCTCTTGATATCATCCATGCTCCCTCTTCAATGCCATTCCTAGCAATCAGCCTCATCTTGATATCCTCTGCCCGATCCGATGAACTCGCGATTGGTCCATCACCTGTTCCTCCATCTGCAGGCTCCAGCAAACAAGTGCACTCTTTGATGCAGCGGTGTCAGGTACTCAGGTTGATCCCTGCTCCTCAATCCTGATGCCATAATATGTTCACAAGTACACCAAACCAAATACATTTATGGCTGTTGTTGCTGCCGAATTCAACCGATGATGATTCCTGTGTCTGAAAACATGCACACAGGCTTACATTGATCAATTTTTTGGAAATACTACAGGCACAAAGACTCTGTCTTCTTCTATTTCCCCCAACATAAGCCAAGAAGGCAAAATCAAATAGAAAAGAGAAATTTAACAAGACAGCTTAACAACGATACATACGGTAGGATGCTACGGACGAAGAAACAGAGAGTTTGTTATGCCATTAGATGAGCAGCTATGGTAACGTAATCTCCCAAGAGCGCAACGTCGACACAAAACAAACAAACAAACAAACAAACTCGCTTACAACAGACAGACTTCCTCCAGTCCAGACAGATGTTCTGTTTGCCAACTCTAGCTCTGGTAACACTCCCAAGAGCACAATATGACACAAAACACGCATACAAACAGCAGACAGACTTTCCTGGCGATCGAGGCAGAGGGCTCTGTTTGCAAACTCTTATTGTTGTCTTAAACGATTCAATCAAATGTTATCACAGTAATTCAAGCGTCAATCTGAAAGCTGTGCTGTAAAATGATAGATGAATGCGGCAGCCGGGTGCGGGTGGCAGCTGCTAGCGGAGATGGGCGGATTGGTTGGACCAATAGAGGGGAGGTGATTGGGCGGAGAGAACGAATGAGTGTGTTGCTCTTGCTCTGCTCACTCCGAACTGCAACAGTCAAACAAACATAATAGCGAATGAAGCTGACATTATCACCACTGAAGAGGGAGAGCAGTGCCGAATCAATTGGATTACCGTATTTCTTCCTCATGGTGGTCATCATCACCATGTCCTGCTTCCTCCTCCTCCGGTTTGCTGTAAGAGCAGCCGATTCCCGATATAGCTTCTGCCATTTCACGTTGCAAGAAAGTCATTCATCTATCCAAACCCACAAAGTAGTTTTTGGCCGCGTGCGTGCTTCGTATGGAAAGAAATTAATTTTAAAAACTTCCACCACTTTGAAATCAAAATCATTCACAAAGTAGTTCAGATATGATACTTTTATAAGCTTTAAGTAGTATATTCAACAGTACTTTCTGTACTATTGTGCAGTTTAATAAGAAAGTCAAGTTATGGATAAGTCTCGCTTTTGATTAAATTACTTTGTAAAATTTAAAAAATTTTGTGGAACTTTTGCGTAATACAAACAGATGAGATTGTTAATATTGCAGGTAATAATACATAAATTTTATTTAATAATAAACGAATTGAGTTATGAAAAGTCACTTAGATAATTCAGTCCAGTGTAGGAGAAGAAGAGCTTATGTTGACATTGCGTTGCGTGTAGAATATTGAAAATACACCTATGTACTTGACTATAAGAGAAAAAGAGTTTATGAAAAAAAAAAAAGATAAACGAATTTAATATTGTTCTCTATTTTTTAATACTAAATAATAATTTTGACTTGCTCTTTTTATATATAAATAAAAAAATGTATAGTAATGATAGAATATAATATAGTACTTAGCAGCTAGGTAGGTAGTAGGGGTGGGCAACCGGTTCGGTAAACCCGAACCGAACCGAATCGAAATCGAATTAATGCTATTCGGTTCGGAATTCGGAAGGAAAATATGGATAGTTCGGAAATTAGGATTCTCTCAACCGAACCGAATTTCCGAATTTCCGACCGAAATACCGAAGTACTATAATTACAAGCTCCAAATGGTGAATTTTTAAGTTTGTAGTTGTTTTTAGACTTAAATATTTGAAATATTTTATGACTTATGTGTTGAAAAGTTTGATTTTATCATTGCTGATGCATATAATTACATATTTATTGGTTATATTAGAGGTAAAAATAATTTAAAAGTAAGAAGATACAAGTAGTTTAACAAATTCGGTTTTGTGTGAAAAACCGAACCGAACGGAATTATAATTCGATTTAAACCGACCGAACCGAATTATAATTCGGTTCGAATTCGGGGACCCGGTATTCATAATTTCGGTTCGGTGACCGAACCGAACGACCGAATGCCCACCCCTAGTAGGTAGCATGTAATTTAAGTACCTATCTCGTTCTTGAATGTTGTTCGGACGTCCTTGAAATTGAGGCGAATGGTGGGGATGTGAGAGATTTTGTCCCACACCTCCTTCGACTGGCAACTCCCCAGCCCCCCACTGTGGTTTATTGTCAGCTCCTCCAGAGTGGTTTTCTGGAGAAGCACATCTGGCACCTTCTCAAGTATCGTGCAATATTCCAACTCCAAATGACGCAGGCGGGGCATGACCGTCATCGAGCTGAGAATCCCGGCTTCCTGATCATCACCTTCTAAATCCCACACTTCCCAATCCCACATCCACGAAAAACTAAGCAGCTTGAGCTTAGGGAATGCAATAATATTACGGCCTTTGTTGTTACCCATCCGTAGCTGCTGTTGTATCACACTGGTCTCCAACATGAACTCAAGGCCAACCTTCTTCACTTTACCCATGCCACGCAAGTGAAGCTCTTCGAGGGAGGGCAGGGCGCCCAAAGGGGGCAGATACTCCACTTCAGGGCACCGATAGAAGGTTAGGGATGTTAAGTTGGAGAGTGACAGTAACCAGCTAGGGCATATGCTCCCTCCCCTGCAGTGCCGTACATCCAGTTTTTCCAAACTTACTGATGATGGTCTTATGGCTTCCAGCACTTGTTCTTCCTTGTGATTGTGACCGGCTTCTTCTTGATTGGATTGGAATTCCAGAGATAAACGAGTCAGAGATTCTTTCTTGGCGAGCTCTGCACGCTTCACCTCCTCACAGTTTGTTACTTTACTTAACCCTTCTATTGTGAGGGATCCCTGAATCCGGTTCATGAACTCTAGATCCCCAATATTAGTAGCTCCAGCTCCAGCTCCAGCTCCCTCCGTATCATCCTCGTCGTCGTAAGCCACTTTAAATGTCGTTAACGTCTTTAGAGGATTACCTAATCTGGCCATTGATCTTGGGAGCACCGCTGGCACCTCGTGATTTTCAAGATGCTTCAAGTTGACTAGCTTATTCCCCATTCCACTGGGGAGTATCTTCAAGCCGAAATTGTGATTGAGGAGCAGAGTCTCGAGATTATACAACTCCCATATTTCTTCCGGTAAGCTCATCAACTTTTTGTTATCGGATAAATCCAAATGTCTCAAATGAATTAGTTGGCTGATTGTGGATGGTATTTCTATCAGATTACAATAATTGAGGATTAATGATCTTATGCCTCGCAAATGAGCATATGCATCAGGTTCAATAGCACTTCCATATTTCATTGTGAAACTACGCAGATAATTATTGCGCTTTGTTGAAGAGAGGTGCAAAGAAACGATGGAGGAAATGAGTTTGTTGGTTTCCTCGCTAGTTAAGACTTCTGTCATCAAATGGCGAGCCTCATTGGTCTTCAAGAGTAGTGAGCTCGAAGGATAGGGTGGGTGGGTTGATCTCCTCCCAAAGTTGAGAAATCGCCTTTTGGACTCAGTCTCTCGACCTCGAGGTGACACTTCTAGTTGGTGTTATTGTTTATGGTGTAGTGGTGCTTTGAGGTTCAAATTGTTGTGTGGAGTTTCGAGTGATCCGGTTTCACCATTGATTGGAAGTTTGAAGTTTATTGCACTTTCGACGGAGGAGCATTAGAACTCTCTCTTCAAAGGATTAACCCTTATAAAGGTTCCTACACACACAAGAACGATTCATACCCATCCATGCCAAACATATTTCATCAACAATCAAATGATGCATTGAACACTTCTCATCGTCCCTAGGATCCAATCTTTTACACCCCCACACTTGATGGTTACTATGTGAAACAAGGGTGCAAAGTGGAAAACAATGTCGAATTAGGTAGTTAACAATCTTAATTGATTGGTTCACATGACAACATGTGAAAAAACGAACCGAACGAAATTATAATTCGGTTTAAACCGACCAAACCAAATTATAATTCGGTTCGAATTCGGGGACCCGGTATTCATAAACCGACCGAATGCCCACCCCTAGTAGATAGCATGTAATTTAAGTACCTATCTCATTCTTGAATGCTGTTCGGACGTCCTTGAAATTGAGGCGAATGGTGGGGATGTGAGAGATTTTTTCCCACACCTCCTTCGACTGGCAACTCCCCAGCCCGCCACTGTGGTTTATTGTCAGCTCCTCCAGAGTGGTTTTCTGGAGAAGCACATCTGGCACCTTCTCAAGTATCGTGCAATATTCCAACTCCAAATGACGCAGGCGGGGCATGACCGTCATCGAGCTGAGAATCCCGGCTTCCTGATCATCACCTTCTAAATCCCACACTTCCCAATCCCACATCCACGAAAAACTAAGCAGCTTGAGCTTAGGGAATGCAATAATATTACGGCCTTTGTTGTTACCCATCCGTAGCTGCTGTTGTATCACACTGGTCTCCAACATGAACTCAAGGCCAACCTTCTTCACTTTACCCATGCCACGCAAGTGAAGCTCTTCGAGGGAGGGCAGGGCGCCCAAAGGGGGCAGATACTCCACTTCAGGGCACCGATAGAAGGTTAGGGATGTTAAGTTGGAGAGTGACAGTAACCAGCTAGGGCATATGCTCCCTCCCCTGCAGTGCCGTACATCCAGTTTTTCCAAACTTACTGATGATGGTCTTATGGCTTCCAGCACTTGTTCTTCCTTGTGATTGTGACCGGCTTCTTCTTGATTGGATTGGAATTCCAGAGATAAACGAGTCAGAGATTCTTTCTTGGCGAGCTCTGCACGCTTCACCTCCTCACAGTTTGTTACTTTACTTAACCCTTCTATTGTGAGGGATCCCTGAATCCGGTTCATGAACTCTAGATCCCCAATATTAGTAGCTCCAGCTCCAGCTCCAGCTCCCTCCGTATCATCCTCGTCGTCGTAAGCCACTTTAAATGTCGTTAACGTCTTTAGAGGATTACCTAATCTGGCCATTGATCTTGGGAGCACCGCTGGCACCTCGTGATTTTCAAGATGCTTCAAGTTGACTAGCTTATTCCCCATTCCACTGGGGAGTATCTTCAAGCCGAAATTGTGATTGAGGAGCAGAGTCTCGAGATTATACAACTCCCATATTTCTTCCGGTAAGCTCATCAACTTTTTGTTATCGGATAAATCCAAATGTCTCAAATGAATTAGTTGGCTGATTGTGGATGGTATTTCTATCAGATTACAATAATTGAGGATTAATGATCTTATGCCTCGCAAATGAGCATATGCATCAGGTTCAATAGCACTTCCATATTTCATTGTGAAACTACGCAGATAATTATTGCGCTTTGTTGAAGAGAGGTGCAAAGAAACGATGGAGGAAATGAGTTTGTTGGTTTCCTCGCTAGTTAAGACTTCTGTCATCAAATGGCGAGCCTCATTGGTCTTCAAGAGTAGTGAGCTCGAAGGATAGGGTGGGTGGGTTGATCTCCTCCCAAAGTTGAGAAATCGCCTTTTGGACTCAGTCTCTCGACCTCGAGGTGACACTTCTAGTTGGTGTTATTGTTTATGGTGTAGTGGTGCTTTGAGGTTCAAATTGTTGTGTGGAGTTTCGAGTGATCCGGTTTCACCATTGATTGGAAGTTTGAAGTTTATTGCACTTTCGACGGAGGAGCATTAGAACTCTCTCTTCAAAGGATTAACCCTTATAAAGGTTCCTACACACACAAGAACGATTCATACCCATCCATGCCAAACATATTTCATCAACAATCAAATGATGCATTGAACACTTCTCATCGTCCCTAGGATCCAATCTTTTACACCCCCACACTTGATGGTTACTATGTGAAACAAGGGTGCAAAGTGGAAAACAATGTCGAATTAGGTAGTTAACAATCTTAATTGATTGGTTCACATGACAACATGTGAAAAAACGAACCGAACGAAATTATAATTCGGTTTAAACCGACCAAACCAAATTATAATTCGGTTCGAATTCGGGGACCCGGTATTCATAAACCGACCGAATGCCCACCCCTAGTAGATAGCATGTAATTTAAGTACCTATCTCATTCTTGAATGCTGTTCGGACGTCCTTGAAATTGAGGCGAATGGTGGGGATGTGAGAGATTTTTTCCCACACCTCCTTCGACTGGCAACTCCCCAGCCCGCCACTGTGGTTTATTGTCAGCTCCTCCAGAGTGGTTTTCTGGAGAAGCACATCTGGCACCTTCTCAAGTATCGTGCAATATTTCAACTCCAAATGACGCAGGCGGGGCATGACCGTCATCGAGCTGAGAATCCCGGCTTCTTGATCATCACCTTCTAAATCCCACACTTCCCAATCCCACATCCACGAAAAACTAAGCAGCTTGAGCTTAGGGAATGCAATAATATTACGGCCTTTGTTGTTACCCATCCGTAGCTGCTGTTGTATCACACTGGTCTCCAACATGAACTCAAGGCCAACCTTCTTCACTTTACCCATGCCACGCAAGTGAAGCTCTTCGAGGGAGGGCAGGGCGCCCAAAGGGGGCAGATACTCCACTTCAGGGCACCGATAGAAGGTTAGGGATGTTAAGTTGGAGAGTGACAGTAACCAGCTAGGGCATATGCTCCCTCCCCTGTAGTGCCGTACATCCAGTTTTTCCAAACTTACTGATGATGGTCTTATGGCTTCCAGCACTTGTTCTTCCTTGTGATTGTGACCGGCTTCTTCTTGATTGGATTGGAATTCCAGAGATAAACGAGTCAGAGATTATTTCTTGGCGAGCTCTACACGCTTCACCTCCTCACAGTTTGTTACTTTACTTAACCCTTCTATTGTGAGGGATCCCTAAATCCGGTTCATGAACTCTAGATCCCCAATATTAGTAGCTCCAGCTCCAGCTCCAGCTCCCTCCGTATCATCCTCGTCGTCGTAAGCCACTTTAAATGTCGTTAACGTCTTTAGAGGATTACCTAACCTGGCCATTGATCTTGGGAGCACCGCTGGCACCTCGTGATTTTCAAGATGCTTCAAGTTGACTAGCTTATTCCCCATTCCACTGGGGAGTATCTTCAAGCCGAAATTGTGATTGAGGAGCAGAGTCTCGAGATTATACAACTCGCATATTTCTTCCGGTAAGCTCATCCACTTATTGTTATCGGATAAATCCAAATGTCTCAAATGAATTAGTTGGCTGATTGTGGATGGTATTTCTATCAGATTACAATAATTGAGGATTAATGATCTTATGCCTCGCAAATGAGCATATGCATCAGGTTCAATAGCACTTCCATATTTCATTGTGAAACTACGCAGATAATTATTGCGCTTTGTTGAAGAGAGGTGCAAAGAAACGATGGAGGAAATGAGTTTGTTGGTTTCCTCGCTAGTTAAGACTTCTGTCATCAAATGGCGAGCCTCATTGGTCTTCAAGAGTAGTGAGCTCGAAGGATAGGGTGGGTGGGTTGATCTCCTCCCAAAGTTGAGAAATCGCCTTTTGGACTCAGTCTCTCGACCTCGAGGTGACACTTCTAGTTGGTGTTATTGTTTATGGTGTAGTGATGCTTTGAGGTTCAAATTGTTGTGTGGAGTTTCGAGTGATCCGGTTTCACCATTGATTGGAAGTTTGAAGTTTATTGCACTTTCGACGGAGGAGCATTAGAACTCTCTCTTCAAAGGATTAACCCTTATAAAGGTTCCTACACACACAAGAACGATTCATACCCATCCATGCCAAACATATTTCATCAACAATCAAATGATGCATTGAACACTTCTCATCGTCCCTAGGATCCAATCTTTTACACCCCCACACTTGATGGTTACTATGTGAAACAAGGGTGCAAAGTGGAAAACAATGTCGAATTAGGTAGTTAACAATCTTAATTGATTGGTTCACATGACAACATGTGAAAAACCGAACCGAACGGAATTATAATTCGGTTTAAACCGACCGAACCGAATTATAATTCGGTTCGAATTCGGGGACCCGGTATTCATAATTTCGGTTCGGTGGCCGAACCGAACCGACCGAATGCCCACCCCTAGTAGGTAGCATGTAATTTAAGTACCTATCTCGTTCTTGAATGTTGTTCGGACGTCCTTGAAATTGAGGCGAATGGTGGGGATGTGAGAGATTTTGTCCCACACCTCCTTCGACTGGCAACTCCCCAGCCCGCCACTGTGGTTTATTGTCAGCTCCTCCAGAGTGGTTTTCTGGAGAAGCACATCTGGCACCTTCTCAAGTATTGTGCAATATTCCAACTCCAAATGACGCAGGCGGGGCATGACCGTCATCGAGCTGAGAATCCCGGCTTCCTGATCATCACCTTCTAAATCCCACACTTCCCAATCCCACATCCACGAAAAACTAAGCAGCTTGAGCTTAGGGAATGCAATAATATTACGGCCTTTGTTGTTACCCATCTGTAGCTGCTGTTGTATCACACTGGTCTCCAACATGAACTCAAGGCCAACCTTCTTCACTTTACCCATGCCACGCAAGTGAAGCTCTTCGAGGGAGGGCAGGGCGCCCAAAGGGGGCAGATACTCCACTTCAGGGCACCGATAGAAGGTTAGGGATGTTAAGTTGGAGAGTGACAGTAACCAGCTAGGGCATATGCTCCCTCCCCTGTAGTGCCGTATATCCAGTTTTTCCAAACTTACTGATGATGGTCTTATGGCTTCCAGCACTTGTTCTTCCTTGTGATTGTGGATGGTATTTCTATCAGATTAAAAAATTTATGAACTATTTGTATGTAATTGAAATTCTCTCACAAATTTTCTTTTATCAATATGTTGGAAAATAATTTCGCCCCCCCCCCCCTAAAAAAATCAAGAATCCTGGCTCCGTCCCTGCTCCCGACCATGAGTTTTCCTAACTCGAGCTACAAGAGGATCTTTGATTCTGGGGTTGGAGTTGGGTGAGTTGTCTTAAGGCCTTCTAAATTTGTCGTATATGCCTCAAGTCACTCAATGGTCATCTCCAACTCGGTCTTCACCAAAGGTTGTGGAGGTGGTTCTTAGTACGATGGTGGAGATGCTTGATAGGCATGGAGAGGTGGTTGTTCTTCGTACTTGGATACTTGGCTGGCACCACTACTAGAAGTTTCAAGATAACACCAATTTGGCGGTTGGTGATCTCCCCACTTCTCATGCCAACCATATAGATCCATAGCTACACCTAAACACTGTCTATATTCAAAAAACAAAAACAACCTATGAAAAGCACAAGTGTAAAAAGAAAAAAAAACAAAAAGAGAATAAATACTTAACATAGATAACTAAAAGAACCATAACAAAAGAAGAAAGAATACGAGAAATAAAATAAGACATGACAAATAGAAAACACAAGAAAATGGCACTAAAGACTTGATGCTACACCAACACAAAACACGACAAGACAACGCCAAACTTGGCACACAATAAATGATTATATAATAGTTCTCGGCTTTTCATAATAACTTAAGATTATCCGGCAACAACGTCAAAAATGTTTGAGGATTTCTTTTTCTTAAAAATTTAAACTAAGAGAATTGAGAATGTATGAGGCATATGAATAATAATTGAGGTCCCATCGCCTACTGAGGGTGAGGAGAGGATTCCTTTTTTTTTTTACCAAACTTAACTCGAATCAAATTTGAGTAGAGCTCTAATTGAACAAATATTAACTGCTCGAACTAGTAAAAAACTTGACAAGAGAACATCCCTAGCCTAGCCCCTAGGCCATACCACCAAACAAACTTACTGCCAGCTCTTTGATAAACATGGGAAATAGTGACTGGAAACCAGTGGTTTCAAACCACCTTGACCAAAATGGAAAAGATTTTTACTTCAGCAACGGGAAGAGACTCTTATGTATTCCATTGCGCCTCTCTTCTATGAATGATCAATTACACGACAGCCATATTAAACCAGGAGAAAACCTGATACCGAGCCAAGAGCTCCGCTTCATTGCCCGATCAATTACACTTGCTTAACACACAAAATTCCAAGCCATTAGAACAAAAACATAGTCCCCACCTACTGCAAAATAGAAAACACGCTGCCCCAAAAATCACAAGGAAATCGATGCTGATTGCAACTTTTTACTTCTCTGTTCCAGCAGCTCCACATCAAAAAAGTCCTGAAGCGGCATCACATCAAAAGGACGTGACGCCAGGCTCTTTATCGCGTCAGCAGTTGCCAAAGCACCTGCAACCGTTGTGATTATTGGAACCTTGTATGCAAGAGCCATCCGCCTCAGCTGCCTACCATCAATCTGGTCCAGAGCATCCCCCGAGCTAGTGATCACCACCAGATGAATATCCCCATTCGCCAGCATATCGCCAGCATGCGGGCGACCCTCGTGCATCTTCAACACTCTCTCCACAGGGATACCTTTCAGCTCAAGGAAGTGAGCCGACCCAGATGTGGCAATGATCCTGAACCCTAGTTCTATAAATGCCTTAGCCAGCCTCTCAAGATGTGGTTTTGTCAAGTCGTTGAGGCTCAAGAAAACCGTCCCTGACAAAGGAAGCTTCTGCCCAGCGGCCAACTGAGCCTTTGCAAAGGCAACAGCCACCTGAAAATCGATCCCCATCACCTCTCCTGTACTTCTCATCTCAGGTCCCAACAGCACATCGCAACCTGCAAATTTCTCGAACGGAAGCACTGCTTCCTTTACAGCAACATGTGAAGGGATCACCTCTTTAGTAAAGCCCAGGTCATGAAGCGACTTCCCGGACATGACAAGAGCAGCATATTTAGCCAACGGGTGGCCTATTGTCTTGGAGACAAAAGGAACTGTTCGCGAGGCACGGGGATTCGCTTCCAGCAAGAAAACATCTCCAGCAGCAGTGATAGCGTACTGGCAGTTCATCAAACCACACACGTTTATACGTTTAGCCAATTTCTCTGTCCATGTCCTTATTGTTGCTAAACATGATGAAGAGATAGTCTGTGTTGGGAGAATGCAAGCCGAGTCACCAGAGTGGACCCCAGCCTGCTCGATGTGCTCCATAATACCACCAATAACAACGTTTCCATTTGAGTCCGCCAGAGCATCGATATCAATCTCGACGGCATCTGAGAGATACTTATCGATCAAAACTGGCCGCTCTGGGTCCACCTCGACTGCATTTTCGAGGTAAGTGATTAGCTTTTCATCACTATACACGATCTCCATGGCTCGGCCACCTAGCACATACGATGGCCGGACAACAACAGGATAACCAATTTCTGATGCAATTGACAGAGCATCAGCTTCGCTCTTGGCAATGCCTCCTTTAGGCTGCTCGATTTGCAACTCTTTGAGAATGGCATTGAACCTCTCTCTGTCTTCAGCAGCATCAATGTTATCAGGTGTTGTGCCCCAGATGCGAACAGGCCCAACCCCACTAGCTGCCATTGGCTTATTCTCGTCCAAGTATTGCTGAATAGGCAAAGCCAGTTTTAGTGGGGTTTGACCTCCAAACTGGACAATTATGCCATCAGGTCGTTCTAGATCAATAACATTCAGAACATCTTCAACAGTCAAAGGTTCAAAATAGAGACGATCACTTGTATCATAATCTGTTGACACTGTCTCAGGATTTGAGTTCATCATTATAGTCTCATATCCTGCATCCTGTACAAGAGAAAAAAACTGTGTAAGAGATGACAATGCAACGTTACAAATCTTTTGAGTATTGGATAGTTAACAGTAAAATTTGAGGAACATCTTATTGCAATAAAGCTACCGGGAGTGAGAGAGATCCTTTCCCTTTTGTGCAACATAATTCTAAAATGCCAAATGCAACTCACTCTTTCCATCACTCATCTCCCCTCTCAATTTCGGAACCATACTTCCTAGTTCCTACAGCTGAGACGTGTCCAGTCCAGCGGGAAGGCGCAATGAACAAGGCCTTATACGGTTAAAACATATGTCCAAATGACAGCAAAAATAGGTTTTTCTCACACAGTTTAGAAAGAGTGGAAACATTCAAACCTGGAGGGCAAATGATGTGTGGCAACAGCAGTAATCAAACTCAATACCCTGTCCAATACGGTTGGGGCCCCCACCTAAAATCAAAACCTTTTTCCTTGAAGTAGGAGTTGCCTCACATTCAGAATCATATGATGAGTACAGGTAGGGAGTATCAGCCTCAAACTCTGCAGCGCATGTATCCACTCGCTTATAGGCTGGAGTAATGCCAAAAGACAATCGGCGTTCTCTAACATCCTTTTCTGTTGACTTAGTGGCAAATGCTACCTGTCTGTCGCTAAAACCTCGCTTTTTAACCTCATACAGGTCATCCTTTGTTAAATCAGACAAGCTCTTGGATATGAGATACTGTTCCACATCCACCAACTCTTTAAGCTGGGTAAGGAACCATTTGTCAATGTAACTCAATTCATGAATCTCGTCCACTTTCATTCCCTTCTTCATAGCTGCATACACAGAATGGATGCGGTTTGGGTTTGGAACTCGTAGGTTGTATTTCAATCGGTCCCAATCCCATTCGAGTTCCTTGATACGTGAACAACCCCATCCTGGGTAACCACACTCCAACCCCCGAACAGCTTTTTGAAAGGACTCTTGAAATGTGCGGCCCATTGCCATGTCTTCACCAACAGATTTCATCTGAGTTGTGAGTATCGGTTGAGAACCTGGGAACTTCTCGAATGCAAATCGAGGTATCTGATAGAAAAAAAAAAAAATATCAAAGAGTTGGTATATGAAGAACATGTTTTTTCTTGGTGACAAACAGAGGACCAGAATTAAGAACACTACACAAGACCATGTTTGTTTACTTTGGTTCTAGTAGTTGAAAGAGAAGTCACCAAAACCAACAGGCCAGCCCATTTTGATTTACCTTAAACAGTTCTACTAACTCTCGCCTTATGAAATTTCCATAACCATCTCTTAGTCAACAATGTAACTTAAAGTCTCAATTAACGAAGGCCATGGATAGAAAACAAGAAGCTGCGCTATGACTTCTGATACTATCAAGCCTATCGAATAAAATGATGGAATACGTAACAAATTATGATAGCAACAAGCAGGAACTGATTTACCTTAGTAACCACATAATCAATTGAAGGTTCAAAGCTAGCAGGTGTCTTCTTTGTAATATCATTGGGGATCTGGTCAAGAGAGTACCCAACAGATAATTTAGCCGCCATTTTGGCAATGGGAAACCCAGTAGCCTTAGAAGCCAGAGCAGAAGACCTAGATACTCTAGGATTCATTTCAATCACCATAACCTCCCCATCAACAGGATTAACAGCAAACTGAACGTTAGACCCTCCACACTCCACTCCAATCTCCCTTATAATCTTAATTGAATAGTCTCTCAACCTTTGATATTCCTTATCCGTCAAGGTCTGAGCTGGGGCCACGGTGATTGAATCCCCAGTATGAACACCCATGGCATCAATGTTCTCAATCGAGCAAATAATGACCACATTATCCGCCAAATCACGCATCACCTCCAATTCATACTCTTTCCATCCAAGCAATGACTTTTCCACCAAAACTTGCGTAGTTAAGCTCGCATTCAGCCCGGCCTTGCAAATAGACTCGAACTCCTCCTTATTGTAAGCAATTCCACCACCTGTCCCGCCCAAAGTAAAAGCCGGTCTGATGATCAATGGGAACTCCCCAATAT